AGTGAACTATTTGATACAGTCAACATGTAAAATGTTATTTTTTTTAAAAACGCTACTGAACCCTTAGCACTCCGAGCAATTTTTAATACGAGCAACCAGCTACTCCAGGACTATTTAATTTTAACACACAATTATACATGCAATGTAACAGTAGAGGCCCCCATGGAAAAGTGAAGAACATTTTAATTTTTAAATGTATAAAAATACAAAGTTGCTTCTATATTTCGCCGACATCGGAGTGCAAAAAGGGTTAATATATATTCTGGCTCTGGGGTCCAGATCTAGAAAAATAACGAAAACGTGTGTGTTTGTCGGTGGTTTCGCCGGTGGCCGGACGCGAAACGAGAGAGAGCAGTAGTCGCGTGGCTCGCCGCGCAAGCGCGCAGGTGCACCGGAAGATGGCCGAGACCGGGCGCGAACCGACACAACCGGGAGGGGGGGGGGGCGGATGAGAGGCGTTTCTGATAACCGAGCAAACCGCAGACGTGTTGGGTCTCGTATTCGAAAGTGTAATCGATTCCCGATGGAATTGCGAGGACAGTAATTGTGAAGAACGGTAGCGTGTTCGACGTGTTAAAGAACAGACGAAACTCCAGCGGAGAAGGCTCTTTTTGGGTAATGAGACGAACGTCTTTACGAGTACGAGTGGAACAACTGTGTTCCGTTGGAGCGAGTTACGACTTGGTTAATTGCCTTAATTCAGTATGTATACGTGTGAACGCGTTCGACGAAGAAACGAAAAACCTGACTGGGTTCCGGGTGGTGAACTGGAGAGGGGGTGTAAAAATTAATTTCTTCCTTTTTTTGTTTGGGCTCGCAATTAAGCGTCGTTACCTCGCGACAATTGAGTTCAGGCCCATTAATTATTGCGCGCACCCGTGGAAACAAAGACGACAGGCACGCGTGTGTGTGTCTTTCTATTAGTTTCGTAACCGTCGAATCCCACGCGTAAATTGCGACCGGTGGTCAAACAAAACTCGGAATTACGTACTCGAACTAATGGATTTCATTGACCGACGTTTTACGAGATATTTAAGGGAGTTTCGGGTGTAATTTATCGTGGCAATTTATGCCCCTTTGTGGATACACCGCGCTCGCTCGCGCGCGTTCATTTTTATAGGTATGCTAATAAACTCGGGGCCCCGCAGCTGCGCACTCTAAGGATGCGTGACCAAATTCACGTTACGAGATATTTTGCGGTACACAAGGGAGACTGGCCTAACCTGCGTGTATGTGTGTCCCTCTTGGGAGGAGGCGATAAACTTTCGACATTGAAACGAGGATGTCGCGCGCGACAACTCTCGTCCTCGGACACATAGATCGAATCTTGTAACGCGTTCGGGCATCGTATCGTTGAAAGTACAGATGGTAATCGATGTGTGTCTGTGGATTCGTGAAGTGGATCGGGGTCCTCCGATAAGGCGTCACGGCGAGTAATTATAAATTATACATATATACTCCAAAGGAAGCTCGAGTCGCGCGTAACCGATCCTCGACCCGTTTCGACGACTTTAACACGAGCATCTACATACACGAGTGTATATGCACGTGTTGCATGTACCACATAATGTGCAACCTTGAGGCGCACACGCGAAGTCGCCTCGCAGAAGTGTCTGTTCGCGCGACGAACCTGTACGTCTGCGCGGTTAGAAACGGTTTTTCGAATTGCGGCAGTCGGGCGCGACCCCTGCCGGCAAGGTTGTTCGGTTGAAGAAGAAAAAAAAAAAAATAAAAAAGAGAAAAATTTCTAAATGATTCCGGGGCGTGTCGGCAGGCTGTCGTTCTCTTCATGGGCGACGATCGATATATCAAGAACCCGCGACGATGCACGAATAGCGTCGTTAGCACGAGAAACTTGGCACGAAATATACCCCTGGGCCGAACGAAAACGTCAACTTCGTCGAGTGACAATACGAATTCGGACCAATCAGGTGGAATTGTCTGGCCCTACGGGGTGCCCAGGGCCCATACACATTCTCCTCTGATTCTTCCGCGAGGACTAGGCTCAAGGGATCTCTCCTTTTCCCACGTTAGCACTCTTACTCTCTCTTTCATTCTATCTCTGTCCTTGTCCATTTCGCCCTCTCTCTATCTACTCCTCACACCCTCCTGCCCCCTCCTACCCTCTCTCTTTCACACTCTCTTGTCCCTCTTTGTTTGTTTCCCTTCGCGTGGTCTGTCCTTGCCTCTTTCGGCGAGGAATCGGTTTCGTGTGTATCGCGAACAAAGCCAATTTCGAGCGTGCAAAAGTCGAACACGGTCGTCATTGCCGAGGAGACGAAAGAGAGAATAAAGAAGCGACGAGCCGTGGAGCACGTTTTGTGTTGTGTACGTTCCCTCGCGGACGCGGCTCGGTATCGTTTTAAGGGAAAGGCTCCTGCGGCCCCATCCGTTAGCTTCTCATTCGGAACGTATAATCAACGAGTTTTCGTCGATCCTCTCGATCCACCTGACCCAATAACGGACCTTTATCTCGCTCGTCTTACCCGTCTTATTTGCGGTGAAGAGGCACCCATTGACGGGAGAAGCATTGGACAACATTGAATCTAGGGAACTGCCTACATCAACGTGCAAACTTCCGCTAGGGAAAAAAGTGGCGCAAGGGCCTCCTACAATTTGGTATCGGGAATTATTGAAATTTTTCCCAAATTAACATTTATTTCAGTACTTGAAAAAAATTTACCAAAATGATAGAAGGTCCATCTCCTGCGTCACTTTTTCCCTTAGTGGAAGACGAGTTTGCTCTTAGGTGTACATACACCTGGGAAAGCAATAGTGGAACGACCCGAGAATCTCACGGCCAGGGGGGCCGGGGGGGACGTGTTGCGTTTTTCCAAACGGTTCGCGGAGCGCGCGTGTGCAACGACGAGAGATCGAGAGCAACGGAAAGTCGGAAGGAACGTTCGTTTCTCGTTGACGAGGGTCAGGTCCTGTATGTGTGTGTGTATTTTTCAAAGTTTAAGTAGGCGAGAACCGTGGTCTGCTACGAAACAACGCACCCGTGGAATAGGAAGGTGCGGACGGGTAAAGGGGTTGGGGAGGGGGTCAAGCCGAAGAGTGAGAGAGACAGACAGGATACCAGCGGATAGAGGGTACTCGTCACGCGAACCCTTCATCAAGGTGCCAGCAACCTACATTATACACTCACACGTGCCTTCCCGAAGCGGCCGTGGCGCGCGGGGTGAATGTGCACGTTACGCGAGGACGTGCACGGATCGCGAAACACGACGCAGAGAGAGAGAGAGAGAGAGAGAGAGAGAGAGTACCATCAACCGTACGGTGCGCGGAATGAAAAGACGAATAGAGGATAAACCAGGAAAAAGAGAAAAAGAGAGGGATAGAGTGGAGTGGAGACGAGTAGAAGAGGGAACCCGGTGGTAAACGTCTATTTATCCCTGTTACTTTGCCTTCTCGGCCATAACGAAAACTTCCAAGCGTATAAGAGTATATGGTATTTACGGGTGCACATACAAGCTTCGCGACCGAGACGAAGAACACAGAATCAGGGACGAAGGAAGAGAAAGATGGAGGAGGACGACAACCAACGACGACGATCAATGGCAAGAAGTTGGTACCTCTATCTCTCTCTTTCTCGTAATCATCGAATAATTAACAGATGTTCCCAGTACGCTACCCAATGACTACGCCTCGGAATCCTCGAAAATCTACCTACTGCCACTCGGTCGGAAAGAGACCCGCGGCATAATAATTATAACGACGACAGCACCTGCTGCGTGTGCCGCTGCGCGAAGTCGTTAGCTCGGCAAACATTTAAGTAACTCGGATGGGCGACCGTGTTCGGATCGCTATAATATCCGCCGCTTCCGTAATCCATTTGTACGAGCCCTTCCGTTCGACGACTCCGTGCCCCAACGCTGATGGTTTCTCCGACACTCCTCCCCCTCCCTTTCGCCTGTGGCGGCCCCTCGAATGTGTGTCGTGACGCTGGCTGGCTGATTCACATGGCTCGGGGACCCTTGAATCGCTCGTAAATTGTCCGCTCGGCCGGACAAACGTATTACCGTTTTCGATCCGTCACGTTTTTTTAAAAGGATTTTTAGCATTACAGTGAATCCTCGATGAGTGTCCGAAAGATCCTCAGCAATGAGTATTAGGACTAGAACTACCAGCATCGAATGTATGCTAAGTAAGTTAAATTGTGTAATATAGTAGAGTATAGTATTGTGTATAAAGTAGAGTATCTAAAGTATCCCGAGGATATCGATAATTGTAAAATAAAAAATCCGTAATTATCAAAATTTAGAAATTGACCAATTTCTTCACTTCCATATCGTAATGAAAGGTGCAAAAGATCTGAGAAAATTTATTGTCATAACATTTTAATCGTCGTTGTAAGAGTGTATATCCAAGTCATTTTTACTTGCTTGGTAGTTCTAGCGTTAAATATTTCATAAACTAATGGCAATGAAACAAATATCATTGCCGTCAGAATTTCAAGCTTAATCACTGCAACCTCGTTAAAAAAAAAAATCACCGTTGCAACTGGTCACCTATTCTTGTCAGAAGTCTTTGAACACTCATCGAGTATTCACTGTACTCCAGATAACTTTTCTCGATTTTAGAATATCCTGGTGTGCGTGTACGTATATCTTCTGGTCGAGCTAAATTCTTCAAACATATTCAATCGTTTCCGCGTTATTTAAGGGCCGTCCAGTCGAACGAATTAGGTTGTACACCCTACTGTCAAGGGGAGGCGAACACGGGGTAACAGATGCAACGGCGATATGGCTACGCGTCGGCATATATGTGTAATACGCGTGGTTCGAGGCTGTTTGGAGTGGTTCGGGGGGTGGTTTGGGGTCGAGGTGTTCGTGCGATTATGGGCTCGTTAGCCACGGCCCATGGAGGGCCTGTTTGTTTCTGCCTAATTTGACCCGGTATAGTACGGCTGTGTCACGGGAGAAAGTGAGAGACAGACACGGCTAGAACGGGGTGCTTGGAACGATTCATCCCTTGTTCTCGATGTCCAGCGATCGTTCCCGCTATCTCTCGCTATTCGTTGGAATCGTTTCTATCTAGTTTTATCTCTGTTGCGCCTCATTTCTCTGTTAATTTTCATTTAATACCCTTTCCCAGACATTTATCACTGCGGGTGTTTATGTACATTCAGAATTTTAGACATTAATTTATAAACATTCAGTTTTATAATATATTCATATTCATAATCATCAGGTAGAAATCTAGTTCCTGTACTAAATGTCTTATTATGTCGATAGTAATATATAACTATCATTGAATTTTATTATAATCTTTATTTTCCTGCATTTTGCATGTTAACAATTGTTATAAATGCATAAACATCGGCGGTCTATTTATCACGGATAGGAACGGTCTAGCTTCGGGGGCATGTAAAATTGAATAGAAAACGTGAACTCGAGGAATCACGTGCCATACTCGGAGACGAATGATTCGGAAAAGGAGTCCCGAGACAAATTGACTCGTTCGTGGTGATTTCGTGTAAAGATAAAAGGGCTGTTCGTAGGGACGGTGTTATGTACAAGGGGAGAGGTTAGAAGCGTAACGTGAAATAGGGATCGGGGGAATATCCCCCGATTGACTTACCATCGATGCTTAATAGTCGTTTGAATGTATTTCCACTTATCTCGGATACAGGGGGAGGCGCCACCCTTCGTGACGGCTAATTATCTCGATGATGTATCGACGTCACGTATATACGGTGTTCACGACAAATCTTCTGCCGTCTACAGGAACCAGTGGAACAATTTTCGCAGGAACTACCCTGTTGGCCCCTTGGTTGAATCTTCCCGCGAGATAATGTTTCCGATGGAAAACGATCTTTCGCCGGACGTGGTCACGGGGAATCGTTCTGGAGACCACGATCGAACGACGAATACGGTATTTTGTTGTACAGTATACGGAGAGGCTGTGTGTCTAACGAGATCCGCTCGAGATCGGAGATTATCGCCATTCCTCGATGCTGGAGAGGAACAGCAGTCGGTCAAAGGCTCGTCCATCCGTGACACAGTTCTTGCGGTCGGTGACTTGGCTGGGGCGATTGCGGGCCGTTTTGCGGTTTCGATGCTCTCGAAACGTTTCTGCCCCCGTATTTCAATGACGCACGCTCGTAATTTGTTGTGTATCGTGCGGCGTTTGTGGGGGGTATAAGGGTGAGGCAGCTAACTTGATCACCTCGAATGACTTCTAAATTATGCGTTGTATGGAAAATTATTTCTACAGATGTTACATGGTATCAAGAGGGACATCATGTTGTGTACGTGACTCCTTTATAAGTGGAGGTTTTTAGGATATTTTAAGGTCAACTTTGTTTTTTTTTTT